GCTTTAGACCACTGAGCCATCTCACCAGCCCCACTAGAGTGGTCTTAACAACAGAAAACAACACAACACTGAGGCAATGGCTTGAGGCGTGCAAACTGCCCAAAATCTTTTTTCATAGAATTACAATTATTAATGCCAAACGAATTTCATTCCAAATATCTTTGCATGTCTATAGATAGATAGAAAACTGGGTGAACCGGTAAAAAGAAGTAATTTCATAAAAGTGAGAACACAAAATACTTGGAACCAGCTTGAATGTTTTCTTGGTTATCAGTCATTTGCTTTTTCTGCCTGGAAATCTCCCCTGCCCCTAAGATATAATCATTTGGAGTACACATCTTGGTGCCTTTGTTTCACCATTTCCTGTAACATAGTGTGCCCTGTTTAAGCTTTTTGCTCGGTTATTTCTTAGAAATTTGGAAATTTCTTTTCTTATGAAGTATGTGTGTTGGGGGGCTACTCTTGCCAGTGCTTGTTGTCAGTATCTACCATATCAGTTATTTTTCTTTTCTTCTGTTATTTTTCTTTTCTTTTCTTTTTTCGGCAGAACCAGGGATTGAACTCAGGCCCTTGTGCTTGCCAGGCAAGCGCTTATTCTACTGAGCCATCTCCCCGGCCCCTTCTTTTTGTTATTTTGAGACAAAGTCTCATTACACAGCCCAGGCTGGCCTTGAGCTCACTCTGTAGCCCAGGCTCGTTTCAAACTTGCAATGATCCTCCTGCCTCATCCTCCTGAGTGATGGGATTACAGGTGTGTGCCACCATGCTCAGCTTAATATCAATATTTCTACTACAACATGCTCTCAATTCTCTTGCCTCAACCACTCCTTCCCTTTCCTCTTCCCCTACCCTCTTCCTTTTTCCCTGTCTTCCTGTCTTTCTCTCCTGCCACACATTTGACCTCATATGTATAGAACTAATAGGCCAATGAGATAGCTTAGCAGACTAATTGTCTGCTTAGACAAGCGCAGGGATTGGGGGTCAATCCCCAGCACCTCATGCAGTGGCAGCCCCACCCCCAGGGGTGCCAAGCTGCCCATGACTAGGCATGGTGGCGCATGCCTGTAATCCCAGTGCTGGTGAGGCTGAAAACAGGAGGATCAGTATGAGTTCAAGCTGTGTAGTAAGATCTGACTTCTTTCTCTTCTTCATCTTTTTCTCTCCCTTCTCCTTTCCCTACAAGAATCTGAGGCTCTTTTCATCTCTTCCTGTTGGGTTAAGATTTTTGTCCTAAAGGTAACATTAATTAAACATTTCTCTGCACTTATAATAGTAATATTGCTTCAGAAATGTAATCCACTTCCTCCCCCAGGCCCTTTTGTGAGCATGACAATATCCTTAGATCTCATGGGACAATGCTAGGATTCTAACACAATGGATAGAAGAAACAGAAGCCCATTTTCCCCTTAAAAAGCATCCTCTTTTTGGAAAATTTTCCACTGTATTTTATCACAGAAGCAGAAGACATGGTCTCCAGGCAAGTGGAGACCCACAGTTTCTCTAGTGCACAGGGCATGCACCGACCCTGACGGGCAAGAATACAACAGGCAAAGCCAAGGAAGGGTCAGCAGTCTGGCTTTGGACAAACTATGGCCTCACAGCTAGAGTAAAGTACACTTTGTGCTTCCCAAGAAGCACTCATTAACATCAGAGACACACTTCTTGTCAAACAACTGTGACTGTGTGGATACTTAAAAGTCACGGTCAGCCCAGAACATGGATTTGGCCCCGGAAAAGCAACCTCCTTTCAGCTTCCTCTTGAGATGACTCTGGAAGCCTGACAGAGGCAGCTCCTATTAAGGTGCAAGCAAAGTGGAACACAGCAAAGCCATACTCTGACCACACCGAGTGTCCCCATGTTCTCCCTCAGGCTACACAGCAGGTGTTCTCCAACGCCAGAGTGCTTGACATTCGCACTGGCCATCTGGAATTTGGAGCGCTGCCCGTGTCTGCTTATGGATCTTTCCACCTACATGGCGCATCAATACTCATCAGTGGGTACGAGTGGAACCTGACTGTGGAGACTGACTTCCTATTATAATGCTCTAGCATTGGGCTGAAGCGGAAGCAAAGGCAAAGAAAACGAAAAGCTCACAGTAGAACACAGTAAGTGGGTAAGAAAACAAGGCACCAAGAGTGAGAGCAGGAGAAACACCAACACAGAAAAAGATCTGCAATGCCTCAGAATTCCCAAGCTGAGAATATACAATATCCATGATCATGTGCAAGAAATCAGACACGCTTTAAAATACCTGCAGAGCGCAAAAGGCCGCTGGCTGTAGGAATCAGTTTTGTTGGCACTATCATTTTTCATTTCAATGCAATGATGCATCAAGCAGTCTAATGAAAAGTTAAATTGCCAAGATCCAGAAGGCTTAGCAAAGGTTTAAGGTCTATGAGTGGAAAATATTTATCTTTAGAATGACACTGTTTATAAACCTAGTGCTGAAAGAGACTGTCACGAAATACTACCATCAGGCTGAGAAGAGAGTTAGAGGCTCTAAGTCGTTAGGACTTCCCAAGACCGATGCCCTCAGATGCTGTTAAAGAGAATATGAATCAGAACCACCTTCAGGAGGGCAACTTTGAAACAGTCTAGAGTCTAAAGACACACTCCTCAAGCAAATGTTTTTCTTCTAGAAATTTATTATAAGAAACACACTAAGGGGGCATGACACTATTTAGCTGATTGGGTATGTGTGTGTGTGTGTGTTTTGCTGGGGATTGAACCCAAGGGCCTTCCCACTGAACTGTGTCACAGCCCTTCTGTATTTTTGAGACAGGGTCTAAATGAATTGCTCAGGCGAGGCTTGAACTTGCAATTTTCCTGCCAGAGCTTCCCCTCCCTGGTATTATAGGCATGTACCACCATGTCTAGCTTATCTATGAATTAAACGCAAAATAAATGTCTAAAAACAGAACTGTTGGGCTGCATGTGGTGGCTCATGCCTGTAATCCCAGTACTCAGGAGGCTGAAGTAGGGGGATCACTGTGAGTTCGAGGCTACACTCAAGTGGATAGGTAAATCCTGTCTCAAAAAAAAAAAAAAAAGGAATTTGGCAATTATGTATAACCAGGGGCTAGGGAGATGGCTCAGAAAAATAAGCACTTCCCTGCCAAGTGCAAAGGTCTGAGTTCAATCCCCAGTTCTGCCAAAAAAAAAAACAAAAAAAAAACAAAAAAAAAAAACATACAACCAAGGGAAAAACAGAAGGGCATTGGGAGCTCAGGAAGGCAGATATGGCAATGAAAGCTATTTCCACTGGAGGGCTGCTGTGCTGCAGGGTACCAAGGCCAGGGCCCCCAGCAAGCTGAGCGTGTATTCTGCCACTGTGCTGTTCTGCCACTGCAATCTGTGACCCCTAGAGCATCCTTTCATTTATTTTAAATTCCTTTAAAACCTGGTTGGGAGTGCGCTGCCCCGCAGGCCGCCATGGCGAACGTCGCCGACACCAATCTGTACGATATCCTGGGTGTCCCGCCCGGCGCCAACGAGAACGAGCTGAAGAAGGCATACAGAAAGTTAGCCAAGGAATATCATCCTGATAAGAATCCAAATGCTGGAGACAAATTTAAAGAAATAAGTTTTGCATATGAAGTACTATCAAATCCAGAAAAGCGTGAGTTATATGACAGATATGGAGAGCAAGGTCTTCGGGAAGGCAGCGGTGGAGGTGGTGGCATGGATGATATTTTCTCTCACATTTTTGGTGGAGGTTTATTTGGCTTCATGGGTAATCAGAGTAGAAGTCGAAATGGCAGAAGAAGAGGAGAAGACATGATGCATCCACTCAAAGTATCCTTAGAAGATCTGTATAATGGCAAAACGACCAAACTACAACTTAGCAAGAATGTACTCTGTAGTGCATGCAGTGGTCAAGGTGGAAAATCTGGAGCTGTCCAGAAGTGTAGTGCTTGTCGAGGTCGAGGTATACGCATCATGATCAGGCAACTGGCTCCAGGAATGGTGCAGCAGATGCAGTCTGTGTGTTCTGATTGTAATGGAGAAGGAGAGGTAATTAATGTTCATGTAGACAAAGGCATGAAACATGGACAGAGAATTACATTTACTGGGGAGGCAGACCAGGCCCCAGGAGTGGAACCAGGAGACATTGTTCTTTTGCTGCAAGAGAAAGAACATGAGGTGTTCCAGAGAGATGGGAATGATTTGCACATGACATATAAGATAGGACTTGTTGAAGCTCTGTGTGGATTTCAGTTCACTTTTAAGCACCTTGATGCACGTCAGATTGTGGTGAAGTACCCCCCTGGCAAAGTAATTGAACCAGGATGTGTTCGTGTAGTGCGAGGTGAAGGAATGCCACAGTATCGTAATCCCTTTGAAAAAGGTGATCTTTACATAAAGTTTGATGTGCAGTTTCCGGAAAACAACTGGATCAACCCCGATAAGCTTTCTGAACTAGAAGATCTTCTTCCGTCTAGACCTGAAGTTCCTAACATAATTGGAGAAACTGAGGAAGTAGAGCTCCAGAAATTTGATAGCACTCGAGGCTCAGGAGGTGGTCAGAGGTGGGAAGCCTATAATGATAGCTCTGATGAAGAAAGCAGCAGCCATCATGGGCCTGGAGTGCAGTGTGCGCATCAGTAAACTCTGCAGACAAATTGCACAGGTGGATTTTCTTTCCACATTTGCCTGATTTATTATCAGTGATCCAGCTGGAGTGTGATCAATCCAGATGAACTGATGGACATCTGTTGGTCTCTGTAACTTTTACAATTGGTATAGTATCTTACAGAGTGTATAATTTAAACTAACCACAAAGCTTTACATCTTCATTTTGACTGTTCTGTAGCAGAATAAAGCACTTGAAAGGAAACAAGACTCCCTTTCACACTGGGTTATAAGTTTCAGTCCTGGTATCTGTGCTTTTTATCAGTTTTGTGTAGATTTTATGTTTCTATTTTAAATTCAAAGCCCACACTAAAGTTTGTACAATTTGCCCTGAAGCTTTGTGTTTGGCTGCACCTGCATAAACTGCTACAAATAGAATAAAGAATCTCATAGCCTGTATCTATCATTTAGATGCATGGAAAAATGGGCTTTGCACACAGTGGGTTTGGAGCTGACTGGGAACAATGGGAAAATTACATTAGCAATGGTTGTAAAGTTTTTGGGTTTTTTTTTAACCATCTTGTGAAAGGTGTCCAAAACTCAATAATAAAAAGCAGTTGGTGTAAAAAAAAAAAAAACAACCTGGTTGGGGGCTGACGATTTAGCCATTTGCAGGACATCTGCAAAGCCCTGAGTTTAATGCTCAGCACCATCACACACACACACACACACACACACACACACACACACACACACACAGTGTAATTTTCATTAGATTGGACTTTAGACGACTTTTTTTTTTGGTGGAACTGGGGATTGAACGCAGGCTCTTGAGCTTGCAGGGAAGCATTTATTCCACTGAGCCATCTCCCTGATTCCTAGACTACTTATTTTAACCTTTCAAATTCCTTTTTTTTTGGCACTGAAGAAAGGACAGTGCTACTTTCACTAAAGCATCACTGTAACTAATACAGAGTGCTTAGTCCTTCTTTGCTACAAGTTGGACTTCATGGCACTATTAAGTGCCTAATGGCACTAGTTCATTAAAACTGTACTCTCTATGCTAAATTCTTCTGATAGTAGAAAGGGAAAAAATCAAGTAAAACCTTCAACTGTCAACCTGTAAATTCTAAAATAACGAATGTTACTATCTCTAGGTCCGGCATTACCTTACCTGCATACAAGGTCTCAGTCCGTGGGCAGAACTCTGAGGTGGAAGACTGCTTCAGGAATGCATTGAATAAAATCTGGGAATCCCTGGACATGGCCACTCTCTTCTGCAAGAGCCTCAAAGGGCCTTGGCTGCAGTCAGGTAGACAATCAATTAAGATACCCTGACACAGTGGCCGGTGCCTTTTCATTTACTTTGTCTGTTTAGGTAGTAAAATAATTTATCCATTTATCATTTTGTTTTGGCAGAACCGAGGATTGAACTCAGGCCCTTGCCAGGGAAGGGTTTATTCCACTGAGACATCTCCCTGGCTCCACGGAGGTTTTAGGGTTTTTTTGGTGGAACCAGGGATTGAACTCAGGCCGCTGCGCTTGCCAAGGAAGCGTTTATTCCACTGAGCCATTTCCCTGGCCTATCCGTTTATCTTTGAGACTAGATACGGAGACTCACTGGCTCAAATCTTAGGAGACCTCAATTCACTTTTATTTTCATGAAGCATGTAGGAAGATGCTTATAAAATTTAGATTCACTGACAGATTATTACAGACTGAAAAATAATGCTTGAAGCAAAAAGAGCAAATATTTACTTTTTGCAAATGTTAAGTACATATAAAAAGTACTTCAGTTTTCCCTCATCTGTGAAAAATAGTAATAGGGCCTCATAAGGTGATTTTGAAACAATGAAAAAATGGCATTATGTGGCGCAGTGCTCAGTATAGAATAAACCATTTAATGGCTCTCATTATTCTTAGCCTCTCCTGAAGTTCCATAATCTCTGCAGTAATCATTTTACTTTGTGCAGCTCCTTCTCCAGTGCTTATCAAAATAAAACAAGGCAAAACAAAAGAAAACCAAAACCAAAACAAACAAAACCCTTTAAGGAATGTTAAGAGACTAATTTAAGAAAAATGTACCTATATGTGTTTGTATAGCTTTAATGATACAGGGTTAAAAAAGCACGGAGACATTATAAACTTGTAGATTTGTTCCCTGAAAATGTAGGATGCTAACATTTTATATGGGTGGTTCAATATTTCCTATATAAGTAAAAATCCTGAGTAGCCCCTGAAGAATCAGTATCTGCTGTACAGACATGTATAAACAACTATTTTTTCCCAATACTTATTTATGCGGAAGATTAATTTTTTTTAAATGTTTGCATGAAATTCCTATGTTGCCTAGAAAAACTGAAGGAACAAGAATTTGAAAAGCAAAATTTTTATTGTGTTTCACTGTTCCAAGTATTCCAAAAATGAAACCCTAGGCACTGAAGGGTTAATGCACTTAAAACTTCTTCTAAAACAACCATTTGCAGGGGCTGGGAGATGGCTCAGTAGAATAAGCACTTGAGTTCAAGCCCCAATTCCACCAAAACAAACAAACAAACAAACAAAAAAACCCAACCATTTGCCAAATAAAACACTAAACCTGTCAATACTACCAAATCTTAAGGAATTCCCAAGTTCCAGTATCTCTAGTTTTTATCATTACATTTTAAGTTTTTACCCATATGAAATCAAAGCCACAAAATCAAAAACCTTCATCTGAGCCAACACTGAAAAACAAAGCAGTGTGAGGAGCTCTTTTTATTCAGCACAGAGCAAAGTACAAACTGTATTTATCAACTTATTTCTACTTCAGAGAACATACTTTGTATCTGAGGAAATTAATGACTAGTTGTCAGGAGTTGACTTTGGAGAATGATCAATAAGCGCCTTGTCACTGGTTGGGAACTGATACCAGGGCCCATCGCCTCTCGAACGCATTAGTCTTCGCACTTCTAGCTCCTTCAACCTGTGACAAATGCAATAACAACACTGTGATCCCAGTGCTTCCAATTTCAAATGGAATGAATCATCTTCTTACAGAATAAGCACCAGAGAATGTTCTGCTTTTATGTACAGAGGACGTGTACTGCCTATGTGTAGGCAGACATGTGCTGCGTTATCAGCAAGCAGAATTTGGAACGTTATTACCCTTAAGGTATACACTAGCTTTTGTCATTAACTCACTTGATAATTGTCTCCTTCGGGGTCCCAGCTCCCTCTGGACACAGCATTTTCACTGAATTGTGACAAATGTCTTTTCCTGTCTTTTCACCTTTTAGATGTTAGAAGCATTTAAGAATGCCTACTGTGATAGCCATTTCTTGGGAAAGTGCTAGGAAAATAAGACTCTTAGAAGACTTCTGTCTATATTGGCTGCCCATCACCATGGGGACAGAAAACTTTTCTAAAGGAAATGCTGTCATATTCACCAGCAACGTAATGTCCCTGGTCAACAGCAGACACTTAGTCAATACCGTATTTATAAAGAAAAAGGGGAAAGATAAGAATAAGGAGTAAGAAAAATACTCTCCAACTCAACAATCTACTGAGCTATTCTCCCCTTTTTTTCACAAAATAAATAACTTCTGGTCTATAAACATGTTTTTCCTCTTTCACATCCAAAGACTGCATAAGCTACCATACACTTCTGGAGAAGCAGTCCCTTTGCCATCTACTCTTTGATGTTCCATTTCTGTAGAACACATATTTTTCATAAGACTAAAAACTTATCACATCTAAACAATTTACTTTAAATCTGGGTGTGCAGGGACACACTTGTAAACCCAGCACTCTGGAGTCAGAAGCAGGAGGATTGTTGTGAGTTCAAGGCCAGCCTGGGCTACTTACATAGTGAGACCCTGTCTCAAAAACAAAAACAGAAAAATATTTACTTTAACATTAACCATGGATGGGCTTGGTGATCTAAGTGCCAGGAGCCGGGGAGATAGCTCAGAGGCATAAGCGACTGCCTAGCAAGCGCAAGGGCCTGAGTTCGACCCCTGGTAACCTCCCCGCCACAAAAAAAAAAGAACCCAGATTTGATCACGATACTGCATGTTATGCCAGCCTCAGATTCCTGGGTGTGCTGTGCTGGCCACCGAAATCAGGCATGGTGGCTCACACCTATAGTCCCAGTGCTGGGAGGCTGAGACAGGAGGATCACTACAAGTTCTAGCTACATAGCAAGATCCTATACCAAACAAACAAAAGGTTAAAAACATTAACCAGTCCATTAATTCTATCTGTGAAAGATTATATATTTGATTATATGTTATATATTTGTATTTGTGCATTTCGGAGATTATGCTTATTTATCTTTTTAATGATTAAATACCATGTTTCTTTTCTACTTTTCAGACTAACTGTCCAAAATTCAAGTAATTAAAATATTCACTATTGGGGGACTAACCAGCTAAGTAAACTATGATTTACCCACATAATGTATTATTTAAAAAATTAAGGAGAATCTATTTGTAATAATGTGGAAGCAGATGATAAATATAGTTAAGTTATAAAGCAAAGTACACAGCCAGCATGGTGACAACTGCCTGCAATCCCAGCACCTTAGGAAGCTGAGGCAGGATGAGTATAAGTCTGAGCCAAGCAAGGCAACTTGATGAGATCGTACCTCAAAATAAGAAAAAGGAGACTGGGGATGCAGCTTGGGGTAAAGGCCTTTGGTTTCCCAGCACTGCTGAAAAAACAATTACAAATACGAAAAGACCAGAAGTCTTCTTTCAGGGGAGTCGACTGTGAGAGATCCCTTTCATATATTTCTTTAATACCTCAGTTTTCTGACTGTCCAAATGCATATTTCTGAAAAACTACAGACACGTCATTTCTTGCTCACACTGGCATCTTTCCTGGAGGGGCAGAAATCAGAGCTTTAGCTAGTTTTGTTTTGTAATTGTTTAGGGTCTCTGTGTCTCAGGAATTCTAGGTCCTGTCACTAAACTAGAACTCAAAGGTTGGTGTTTGAAATTCAGAAAAGCCTTCCACTACTAACCATGAGCCATACTGCTGTTCTGTGCTCTTAAATACATAACCATTCTATATGGCATCCATATACGCATGCAATCATGTATCTAGAGAACAGCCAAGCATACATTCCTTTTGCCATTTAAATATCTTTCAGTATTATAGCAGTGTTGATGAACTACCAACTTGAAAGCAGAATGAACAGAAAAGCAGCTCAATGGTAGCCTGGGGTCAAACAGAGAAGATGGAAATTGAATAGGATGGATGGCAAAAGGCAGACAAAAGCACTTTAGAGCGATCAAAGTGACT